GGCGTTTATGCAAAGCTTGGTGGGACGTAGGGTGAATCCGCCTCGTACAAGGGAGGCTCGGATGTACTGGTGGTTTAAGCTGATCAGAACAGATACTATGTTTTATGAGTCTTGGTCATGCCCTACCGTCTTCAAATATAGAGCGTACACCGTACGGTGAATATGCCTGTATTCGGTGCAGCTTCCAGTCCACATACAGCGATAACGACTGTGTACGTTCTATTCAGGTGAAGAGCCATTATCGCTGTATGTGGACTGAAAGCTGCACCGAATACAGGCATATTCACCATACGGCGTATGCTCTATTCGAAGACGGTAGGCCATATGATCAAGACTCATCAAGCGTAGTATGTGTTATGATCAGCTTAAGCCACCAGTACACTCAGATTCATCAACGTGGCGATTCTTGTACGTGAGTGGCATGGTGAAGAGGGGGAGTTAAAAGAAAAATGAGATAAATGAATGGTTTCAGTGTGCCCCTCATGTTGGTCTTTTTTTTTTCTTTTTCTTTTTCTTTTTTGACGGTTTGTTTCGTAAAAGTACGCTCGTTTAGTTCATAGATATGTGACAATATATGACAGTTGCAATTTGGCATGGGCAGATAGCAACTCAGCGTTTGCACCCTGCATGTTTTTTGACGGTCCCGCTGCGCTGCGGATCGTTTTGCAAGGGTGATCAGCAAGCAATCGCGGCCGTTGGTGTGGTGGTACAGGACAATCTGAATTGTTTGCTCATCGTGTTAGAAATCAATCAGCACGTTGATGCTCCCCACCAGAATGAATATGGAGCCAGGACCATAAGGACCTGTTTTTTTCTTCTTTTTTTTTCTTAATCAATCAGCACGCAATCTGACCGCGCATCTGCTGACCTGTGGTATGGTACCCACTTTGGGTTAAGAGGGCCACGTACAGTACTGGCCCATTTATTTATTTTTGTTGAAACGGCCTTTTGGTATCGGCAACACCAAAAGGAAGATGGCCACCCCTACGAAAGCGCATCCATGCGCCGATCACGAGATAATGTCCAATGACTCCAAAATGAAAGCGCTAAAGAAAACCGCTGTGCTGTAGAAAGAAAGCACTGAAGAAAAGTGTTGCACGATTGTGTTCTTTTGCCGTGTGCTCAACACTCTATGCTCCAATCCTGGACACACACACAGACAAAATCACATGCCCGCGTGCATGCCACGCTCTGTGATGACCCACCTGAGATCCGGCTAGTATCTGGTTTACATGTGCGTTGTGCCGTGAGGATTATGAAAGGATAGCCGATAGCCCGGCGTGTGAGATTTTGTTTTCATAGGTATGATGACAGTCAATATACTGCAATCGTGTACGACACCCTGACATGCCGTGTCCAATTTGTAGACAGGGGCCGGAACGGCAAAGCGTGTACAATTGCGGTCGCTGTGCCTCTGTGTTCCTAGCATGTAGGAACCACGTAGCCGTCAACATCTGTCTACGCCATGCCATTCGATGCAGCAACTGCGACTGTGAGAATTGGATGCGGTGCTTCCACAGTCTGTCTACACCCGAACCGGTCCTCTGTGCGGTCTGTAGGGTGGCCACTTACCATAGGCAACGGCGGCAGCTCTGCAACTCAAAGTCTACTGCAAGTTGCGACACAAACACTGACTGCCCTCTTTTGCTATTCAGCCTATTCTAGAATAGTCTGCTGCAGCGGTGACGATTGAGAACTCTGTGAAGTTAGTCTTTCCTCTGTTCTCTTCTTTGCCCCTCCACTTTCCTCCACTTTCCTCCTCTGCCCCTTTTATTGAGAACTCTTTGTAGTTAGTAGCCTTCCCTCTGTTCTCTTCTTTGCCCCTCCACTTTCCTCCACTTTCCTCCTCTGCCCCTTTTCCCTCCCCTGCCCCTCTCTTCCTGTAGAACTCGACCCCCTACCCCTTTCCTTCCTCCCTCCTCTTGTGTACTAGTAGGAAGAGCTTCCACCTATTGGTAAACTGTTTCCGTTTATTGGTGAGCAACAAACAGCTCTCCCATCTCATGATCTTTGCCTTTAGGAGGACTTGCATTGAATGAGCTGGACTGTAGGAGTGCATGTAGTTAGTCAGGCAATAACGATAATAATAAGCATGCGAAACTGTGAAAGATATGAAGGTATTAATTAGAGGAGAACCTGCTGCTTACCGTGCGCCAGCAAATTATAATAATGTGCATGTGTTGTCGTGTTCCGCTATACACAACTCCACAAGAGAAAGCATGACTGTGCCAGAGAGACTGTTCTGTCGGACTTTCACCCACTCGTCAGGCGGTTGAAGTGTGTGTGTGTGTGTGTGTGTGTGTGTGTGTGTGTGTGTGTGTCCATGCTTTCCTGTGGCATCTTGAGGTCCTTGCTGCAGTTGGTTTGACAGTGGATGAGTTCCATGATGGCGTAAAGCACTAGCGGATTGTAATAATGTGTGTGACACTGTGTGTGACGTGCGTGTATGCGCTTTTCCTTTTTTGTATGTACTCCTGCAGCATCTGGAAGCTCTTGCTGCTGTTGGTTGGACGATGGACGAGTTTGATGATGGCGCAAAGCACGATCGCAATCACGGCCATTCATCTTCGGTCCAAGCGATATGGAGGCTCAATGAGCAGTTACGCCATGGACTTACAAAAGCGACACGGTGGGCTCATTTTTCCAGAGCCCCACAATCACCCGGTGATCATTCAGAACCTGACCCTGCACTCCGACTGGATACTCGTGGCTTAGAAGCGGAGCAGAAAGGAAAAGCACTGTTTAAAGCGGCGGCGGCGTTGGGAACTTCTCCTCGACACCACGCCGATACAAACGAGACGAACAGTGCAAGGGTCGATGGCGTGTCAGGACTGCATGTAGCAGCGCAGGCGAGGGGGGAAGCGGTCACAGCAGCCGTGCAAAGGCCAGAAGCAGCAGCGCTTTTAAGGGGACAAGTACCGCCTGCAGAGACCAATCAGCAAGGACAAGCAGATGTTAACGCAAAGACGTCGGAAACATCATCCTCATCACAGCCATTGAGTATGCCATCAGACGCCTTTCGATATGCGTGCTTGGCTGGCATTTGAAGGGAAGGTAGATCATCGCCCACGAATACAACCTTCTACGCTTTTCGATCAAACTCTTGCTACCTACCAGTTCTTACTTGTCTGTTCCAGGTCTATAATACTACCGTCTTCACCCGAATAGAACGCCCGGTCATTATAGCTGTATTTGGCACAACTTTCAGCCCAGATACGGCGATAATTACCGGGCGTTCTATTCGGGTGAAAACGGTAGTTTGGAGTCTTTGGAACTGGACCGAAGTAGCAGTGCTCCATGGGTGCAATGCCAGAACATGCTGCTGCAGCTGCTGCTGCTGCTGATACTTGCAGTGGTCACTGCAGTGGACATCTTCACTCTGTGCCCACTGTTTGGTCGCAAATGCCACCGGACGCTGTGTGTGTGTGCACATGGGCACTCTCTACTTGTCAGTCAGTCAAACTCTCATCAGTAAGTTTCAGATGGAACGTTTGCTGTCGACAAGCGCCTGGCCGCATGGCCGTTTTTTCGTATCCGTTTCCTCCCCCCCCCCACCTCCTCCTCTTTCAGAACCTGCTGAATCTGTGCTGATATTGTGCGGCCTGCAGGTCTATCTTTAAACCTCTAGAGCACACACAGAAGTTGAGAGAGCCTTTTTTATTCTTCTTTTCTTTTTTTAAGTTTTTTTTCTTTTTTTCCTTTTTTTTTTTGAGGGCCAGAGTCCGCAGGCACAGAACAAAATCGCGATCAGTAGGAACTTAGGAAGTCTATTCTTTCATAGGAAATCCGTTAAAATTGGAACGATACAGAGAAGATTAGCATGGCCCCTGCGCAAGGATGACATGCATAAATCGAGAAATGGTCCAAAATTAAAAAAAAAAAAAAAGGAAGTCTATTCTTTCATAGGAAGTCTTTTCTTTCATAGGAAGTCTATTCTTTCATAGGAAGTCCATTCTTTTACAAGGGCTTACAACTTCACATCAACACCGATCCAGCTTCAAAAGCTTTGTTCAGCTTTGTCGTCACGACTTCAGGAGTGTAATACATCCACCAAAAGGGCCTAGTTCAGTTGGTACATACAAAGTAGTACACACCCGTGAACTGTTCAAATACAGGACCTCAAATCCAGATGGAGGCAAATGAACGAAATTATACCCTATAGGGCCTACTATACCCTACTGGATTACCTGGGGCTGGCTGGTCAGGATTGTAATTCCACTGACTCTGCAGATCGCAAGGAGCAACATGGATCTCAATGGAGGTGAGAGGCAGAGTTGTCAGGAAGGAAAGATTTTTGGCAGGCAGGACCTTGGTCCATACAGGAGGAACAAACACTAGACCAGTCCATACAGGAGGAACAAACACTAGACCAGTCCATACAGGAGGAACAGACACTAGACCAGTCCATTCAGGAGGAACAGACACTAGACCAGGCTAGTCAGTTTAGGTTACAGATCCGAACTGGGGGGCAGCCAGTCGGTGGCGCGTCCAAGTCAAACTCCCGACGCAGTTAATCACTTGCATGTTCCAGGTAAATAAAACTCTGGACCAATCCGTGTTCCACAGGGCTGTAGATATCAATCAGGCTCAAAGATTGGACCAGTTGGTCAGTCGGCTGCAGGTTCGAGGTCCAACGTTTGGACCAGGTAGTCAGTTTGTAAAGGACTCCAGGTCTAAAGATTTGACTAGTCAGCCGGTTGCAGGTTCCAGGTCCAAAGTTTGGGCCAGTCAGTCAGTCAGTCAGTCAGTCAGTCCCCGTTGCCAGTTCCAGATCCGAAGTTGATGTCGACTCAAAGTGACAGGATTCGAACCTGGACCAGTTGGTCAGTCGGCTGCAGGTTCCAGGTCCAAAGTTCGGACCAGGTAGTCAGTTTGTAAAGGACTCCAGGTCTAAAGATTTGACTAGTCAGCCGGTTGCAGGTTCCAGGTCCAAAGTTTGGACCATTCAGTCAGTCCGTTGCCAGTTCCAGGTCCGAAGTTGATGTCGACTCAAAGTGACAGGACGATTCGAACCTGGACCAGTCAGTCAGTTCCAGGTTCCAGGCCTGAACTCTGGGAATAGTTGGGTCAATGGCAGGTTCTGAGTCTGGACCGCTACTCTCTCAGGGGGTCAGTCCGAGTCGCTTCCCGAGCGGGTCGGCTACGTGGAGAAGATTCATGGAATGTCCTTGGCTTGCTCTGCAAGCAAAAGTTTCCAGAGAGGAGCGGAGTCTCTTGGCGCAGCCAAGCCCCTGTCGAGCGTAAACCACCAGTACTTTCGAAAGTCGCGGCCCGCATGCACGCCACGACGTGCTGGGAGGAACGGGCCTGGAGCGCGCGGGAACAAAAGTTCATTCAAGTGGAAAACATCGCGGCACGTAGCAATGGCTGGTAGCATGCGAGCTGCAAGCTGCAAGTTGCGGTAGCAAGGGCTGGCGGCATGCAAGCTGGTGGTTTAAGGCATGACGGCTGCAGGTAGTGACTGAGGAGCGAGAAAAAAAAAAAAAAAAAAAAAAAAAAAAGAATTCAAATTTATTCATTAATACAAATGGGGAGCGTCGTTCCGTTTATTTTTTTTCTTTTCTTTTCTTGTCTTTTTTTTTCTTTCTTTTTTTCTTTCTTTTCTTTTTTTTCTTTTCTTCTTGACAGAATCTAATTGCGCTGTTCGACAGTGTTATTAATTGGCATTCATGCTGTCCACAACAGCTGCGAATGACCAGGTCGGNAAAAAAAAAAAAAAAAGATGAGAAGAATTCAAATTTATTCAATAACACAAATGGGGAGCGTCGTTCCGTGAACTGGTCTTCTTTTCTTTTCTTGTCTTTTCTTTTCTTTCTTTTTTTCTTTCTTTTCTTTTCTTTCTTTTCTTCTTGACAGAATCTAATTGCGCTGTTCGACAGTGTTATTAATTGGCATTCATGCTGTCCACAACAGCTGCGAATGACCAGGTCGGATTTTGGAAATTTAAAATTAGGGGTTTAGGACGTAAGAAGGCATAAGCATGGGGGTATGAATCCAGGCATCCATCCTCAGGTGCGCCTACAGTCAGACGGCGCTCTGGGTGGCTAAAACGTAAGGACGGCGATCTCGATGGCGCATACGTACTGGCGGCGATCTGGATGCCGCATGCGTACAGAGTCTACAGACAGACGGCGATCTGGATGGCGCGTACGAACAGAGGATGATCCAGATGCCGCGTACTTACGGATGGCAAACAGCAGTATCTGGATGGCGCCTTCGTACGGACAGTCGGACGGTGATTTGAAATTTGAACGGCTCTTTCCAACGGGCAACGGACGGTGAGTTCGATGGCGCGCCTTTGTACGGAAAGCGGACGGTGATTTGGATGGCGCCTTCGTACGGACAGCGGACGGCGAGTTGGATGGCACGCCTGTCGTACGGACAGCGGACAGTGATTTGGATGGCACGCCTTTCGTACGGACAGCGGACAGTGATTTCGATGGCGCTTTCTTACGGGCGACGGACGGTGAGTCGGATGGCGCGTTCGTACTGACGGCAGCGGACTGCGATCGTGTCTTGATGGTTAAGGTTAGTGATCGGCCTGCAGGGTTGCATGTTTAGTGTTATCAATTCCAAGCTCAGGGGTTTTAAGGCCCTTGACGGTATAACCCTTGTGTCAACTTCGTTCTAGTGGAAATTAGGGTTCATTCATTTCACAACCTGCAGGATTGACACGTTCAACGCTAGCGACAGAAAATGCAAGGGTGGTTTATTTTAGGGTTTAGTGTCAGAACTCGACGATTTAGGGGTTGAGGAACCTTTTTTTTTTTCTTTTTTTTTTTTTTTCGGATTCCCCCCCCTTTATTATTCATCCTTGGGGTTACAGAGTACTACAAATTAAATTCTGTGTAGGTTAGTGAGATATGTTTGAGCTGTGAAGTCTCAACGTTTGAAGACAGACATCGGAGGGGTTTTTTTTTTTTTTTTTTTTTTTTTTTTCCCTTTTTCGAAAGCCCTTGTGCAAGGCCGCTATCGCAGTGGTGGTAAGAGAACCACCGAGATCGAGGCTTCTTGCCTGATGGGCTGCTCCGTCTATTGGTGATGAGCGACGGAGCGTCACCTCCTGGGTCCAGCAGCGTCCCAATTATACTTCTAATAATCAATATACACAGTGTCAGCGACGTTTCCCCTTTTTTTTTTTTTTTTCCCCCTTAACAAATTCCAAACTCAACCTTCTCAAGTGTTTAGGATCCTTCCCTTCGACCCAAGCTTTGCGCTACTGGAAGAGGTTAGAGTTTAACTTTCAAGAGTTTAGACTCTTTAGAGTTTAACCTTCAAGAGTTTTGGAGTTTAACCGCTTAACCGTGTAAGGTTTCCTGCGACCTAAACTCTTGAGCAGGTTGAGTTTAGAGTTTAACCTTCAAGAGTTTTAGAGTTTAACCTTCAAGAGTTTTAGTTTTAGAGTTTAACCTTCAAGACTTTTAGAGTTTAACCTTTGAGAGTTTTAGGATGCTTCAAAAGTTTAGGACTTCAAATTGTGCCAAAATGGCGCATCATCGTGGGCCTTGAGTTCCAATGATTGCCCCGCATTGTGAGACCAGGTCGTGACATGGTGTTTTTTTTTTTTTTTTTTTTTTTTTTTTT